TTTTTCCTCTGGCGACTATCTAAACCCAGTCTTTTTTGAATAGAAGATTGTGGCAGTCTTCCGCTTTTTTAGGAAATGGGAAGCTGTGGACCAAATTCTAATGGTTTCATTCCCAGCCCACTTATTGGCAAAGAAGATGAACGATTGCTAGAGAAATCAAAAAAGGCGCCTTAAAATTACTGAGGAATCTCTTGAACGAGGCCCAATAAAAAAGATGTAGAGACTGCCTGGCCATAACACCACATACACTTAGAAAGCAAGCGTGATTAATATATATCACACGTGGAAATATCTGGAAAACGAGCCAAATATAGCATTTGTATATACACCATATAGGCTTACCGGTGTCCTTTAATTTACTTTCCGCACTACTTGTGTCGCCTAATATACTTAAACCTTGTGGTTTCAGGCTACATTCTCGCACAATCAAAATCGTTGGAGAAATTATGGAATAGCCAATTCATACTATCTACGATTGCGACTCGTTAACAACAGCAGAACAATGAACAAAATTTGCTTATGATGGCCGTTGATTGAGTATCGCTGAAAAGTGCAGACCACCGCTTCTATCGCATGTGGAGCGTTGATGGGGTACTCCACGAATTGATCTTACCACAGCAAGGAAGATGCGGGAACCCAGAGGATTACGTTTGATGGACTTTGCTTGAGCTCCTAAGGCTGATGCGTTGCAAAACAACACTCTTGTTTTAAGTTCACGTCATGATTGGTCAAGGCTCCATTCTTCCGGTCCTTTTCCTTATTACTTTTGCTTACAAAAAGTGATGAAAGCAGATATGACAACAATGGAGAATCAGTGGATCCACCTGCAGTATAAGGGTTACCAGCTAACATTGCCAGGTTCAGGTTTTTCAATCTATAACGGACGTGCGCAGTTATACCGTAGTCGGTCCGCCGAGTGGAATAAGAGCAATTTTCTGTAGCTGGAAATTTTCTAGAATCTTTATAGCAAAAAATACCTTTTCCAATAGCTAATTTAGGGGTTCCGAGCATGACAGAGTTGTAGAAGAGACTTTGCCCTGTCGTTCTTTAGGTGCAAATAATATGTACGCTACTATTTACTGAGTGTTTTCTACTATTTACTGAGGGGGACGTGTGGCAAAAGTGGTTGGAGCGCCACTGCAACACACATATGGAATCGATCCCCGCGTCCATGGCCCACCAATCCTTCCACGCCTCCGTGGTCGGCAAATTGGTACCAGACTTGTCTGGGAGGATAGCAGCACTGACTCGATACATCGGTAGGCCACTGTGAGATTGCAAACTCCAGATATGCATTCAATCTCCTCCGAACGATGCTTAATGAAGTTGAATGCATGACGCACCCTCAGGGATTGATCAGCGCCTAGAGCTTTATCCTTTATTTACTAAATGTTACTACGGTCAATTATGCAAATACATCGCTGTTAACGCTTAGAAGTATTTTGTACTGTCTATTGAGCCTCGATCGGTGTCTTCCATACCCCACATTTCCTACAACGACCACAGTGCAAAAAATGAAATAGTACTTTATTGTTAAATTCCTGGCCAATGAACTTCTTCGTTTTGTAAACCATTAAATGTAGAGAATGGTATTCCTTGTCTCACCATACGTTTCTGAAGTAACTTCGACAGCCATCCGATGAACATATATAGTGGGGTGAGGAAAAATTTTCGAACCCACTGAACTAAAAATGGGCACTACAGTTCCCATAGCGGGCGTTATGAGTTAAACTTGGAGAAAAATTCTGTGGGGACTAACCGCCGATGATTCGGCGTTTTCTAACGCTTTTCTTTTACTTTTTTTCTTTATTTCTCCATGTCATCTCTCACCAGCAGATGTCAAGATGGTGAATGAATACAATACCATGTGCACACAGAGGTCGTGCGTTACCGAAAGTTCGTTTCGAAACTGAAATTTATGTCGTGCACTCACACAGCAAATCTATACGCTATGTGGAATGGACTGGTTAAATTGAATATTACGGTTGTCGAAGCGCATAAATAGTTGAAGTTTCAACAGCTACGTCGGATTGAAGATGATAAGAAGGCTTAATAACAAAAATGCTCTAAACCCAATCAAATAAATCTCACGATCGACTTTTTATTAACCTCGGCATTAATCAAGTAATTCTTCGTATTCTTGTTGAGCAGACGCGAGGTGTTATTTTTATTCTTTATTCACGAATAAGCTGACGTTTCGGCGGGTTTCGCCTTCCTCACAGCCTGGAAAGGTCAAGTTGATAGCAATCTATCTCGCCAAACACCTCCATAACCAAAAAGAGAAAACGCTTAACCAAGATTTCAATCAAATCGAACACATGTGTTCAGATTGCTATCAACTTGACCTTTCCAGGCTCTGAGGAAGGCGAAATCCGCCGAAACGTCAGCTTATTCGTGAATAAGGAATAAAAACCGTTTAAACAAGGCCACACGTAAATAAATGAAAATCCATAAGAAAAACTAGGAAGAGCATAAGAGGTCATTCCATAATCTTCACTTTCCAGTAAAGGAAAGAACGATTAAGTCTCGAATATATTTAAGATGGCCTTAGGCCAAACATGAATTATAATGCAATGAATACAGACATCAAAAAGAAAAGTACAGTATTATTCATCTTACTTGATAATCGAACAGCCCGCCATCACTAGTTGTGCGAGCACCAGCATAATCACCACTCCTTCCTCACTGATTGTGCCGGTCACCCAAGCCATTGTGGTTTCCTGGAGCCCCGAGGACAGCATGGCCAAAGTCTGCTCCAGATCGTCACCACGACAGGCAGTCGCAGCCCTTGTGGATCAGAGGAAGATTTGCCACCATGCCATTTTGATACCAGGACGGTAGTGGATCCTGGTATTGGTTTACTCTTAGCTAGGCTTTCTGATGGAAACGCAGGACTCCTTCTCAGCCTGGGAGACCCTGCCAGGGAATGGATCCCCCGCTGTACATCGCAATCCGACACCCAAGAACACCTTCCAGCCACGATGAGGCGGCAAACCGTTAGGAGGGTATTATCCACCTACACGACTTATTTGCGAAATTCGATCACGTGCTGGTTGTCTTTATACATGCTTTTTCCTACACTTCCTACGGTTTCTTAAAATCAATTTTCTTATTTTACATTCATCACCCGGAAGGTCTTTGATATTGCATGGGCATTTAGCCGCTAGTTGATGATTCTACTTCCGCGATGAACGTCGTCGAATGCTGGTCAACTTGATTCTGCATTGGACCTTGAAGCGCTGCTGGAGTGTTCCCAGGTAATCACTGCGATTACTCAGCAGTCTCAGCCTTTGAGGGCCAAAAAGAGCATCTCCCGGACAAGCTTAGTGCCAATTTACTGAGTAGTGAAGAAAACCCGTCCAATGCTTTGTCACCTCATCGTGGTTGGGAGGTGTTTTTCGGTGTCCGGCTGCGATGTAGAGCAAGGGCATTCATCTCCAGCAGGGTCTCCTAAGCTGAGAGCGAGTCCGGCGTTTCAATCAGAAAGCACAGCTAAGAGTAAGCCGATACCAGAATCCACCACCGTCGTGGTATCAAACTAATCGCATGGTGGCCTCTCCCTCTAATCCACAAGGGCGACGACTCCCTGTGGTAATGACGACCTGGTGCAGACTTCGGCGCTAGCCTGACCTCGAGACTACAGAAAAACACAAAGGCCAAGCCAGCAAAACTCCGAAAAATGGAGAATATGCTGAGGTCCACACAAAAAGCGAAAACTGGCCGTCCAAGTATCCAAGTAAGTATCTAAGTGGAGAAAACTAGGACGGATGCCCAGTGTGGGTTGCACCATGGTGCGGATATTCCTCGTCTGTGCACGTATGACTCATACAAAACAAAAACTTTGATGGCGGTTATAAAACGCCTTTTCGTCTTTCCTAATATGAGCTACTTTTAGGTTCAAAGCCTGTTCCCCACCCAGTTTTTCCTTCTTATCAAACGAGACTACTTAATAAGTTTCAATCCAAACAAGTGTTAAGGTTGAACAATTTAAAATTTTACATAAATCCACCGAAAAGCGAAGGAATATACCTTATCATAGTTGTTTCCGGCTTGAAAATGTATAAGAACAGATGAAGCCGAAGATGCGTAGAATACACGCTGTCTAGATGGTACCGCCAGCAATCTTGAACGCTAAAGAATTGGGTCTAGAAAGGCTTGAACGACTCGAGTTATCGTCTCTGGCTTGTTTGCATATTTATTTTTGGTACTACATTTCTGATAAATATGAAAAGTAAGAGATCAATCACGTTTTCAGTTAATTACGAAGTAATAGCGAGTTTTCCAGATCGGATCGGGAGGTTATGTGAAGTAATGGATCGATAAAGGAAGAGGAGAACTTTATAGTCAGAAAACAGAAGCATAAATTTCTAACTTCAAATAGATTTCCATTTTCGTTTGCAAAAGTAAAAGGAGGAGAACAGGAACTGATCTGTGACGTCGTTTCTGTCATAGAAGACACGATTATCCATAGAAAAGTTTTCTGAACGTACGACATACCCCATTGTTGGTCTCGAATACATCGAGCTTTGCCTCTTTCCCCAGTGAAATTTCTACTGAAGACAGCACCACACGATGCCCTTTACGTTGGGGAAGAATGTAGGTGCAGTTCACGAATGACCGATAATAGAATGGATAGGATGGCGAATAGAGTACACCCTGCAAAGCCATAAATTCATTCCAATAACGAGGAAAACAACTAACAACGAGAAAACGTAAGGCTCAATTTTGGAACAAGGAAAATAATTATGAGTGCAAGCTGAAAGAAAAAAGTGAATTTTTTGGGTGACATAAGGATTCTGAAAAACTTCGATGCTTTCTGGCCACCCGACCAGCGCACTAATCTCCTTTGGTTAACATGTTGATAGAAAACATATTGATGCTGGTATGAGTCACATATAACTCAACAAACAACCGGAATACGACATTGGCACCGATGTATTAAATAACCGCACAAAGATTTCTATGGCGATCTCTCTTCAACTTCTTGATTTTCGCAAGATTTATCCTATTTTCAACATGAGAAGATTGTCAGCATCGCAGTACCGAACTGTGATTCGATTCAAGTGCGCTACGGTTTCCATATCGTCAAGAACGAATTCGTCCTCACTACCATAAAGAGCTGCAATTATCGCCATTACCTCGACAAACCACGAATGAGGCGGGCCAGAAATTAATAGCACTCAAAGCCGATAAGATGACGATAGTTCACTCTTACGCAGAAAAAGCACCAATTAGAAAAAGAAGAAGGCTTAGAAACCATCTGACAGACCTTCGCGTTTTCAACTCGGTAACTGCAATCGGAAATTTCTATACCGTCGCTTATATAGTTTTCTGAATAGCCAGCATTAGTAAATTTTATAGAGTGAAAACGATCACCACACTTCTAACCATTGCTGAAATCTGGCAAAATTTTATTTCACATACTTTTAGATAAAAATCTATATTCTCCTCTGAAACCTTTTGAGGAAGCGCCACCGTGAAGGATTTGAAGAAGCATATTCTCGTCTCTAAAATTAAGAGCTCAGCAACAGCACTGTTCATAAGGTTATGGAGATCACAAAGGACATTCACAATTGACACCAGCTCGTTAATGCAACATCAAGCCGCTGCATTATTTTCATGCCGTTGAGACCTCTGTTCATATTTGAATTCAGCACGAACCTATTAAGAAAGAGCGAGGTATTGGAGGTCATCGCAAACGCTCTACAGAATTTCGAAATCTTTCTTGCCAAACCAACTTTTTATTCAACACATTGGTCTAAGAGGTAGTTGTCGCGACTTTAGGAAACAACTGATTGTCTTTATTTTTAGAAGTATATTTACAGGAAACCTTGAGTAAAATGAAGTGCCTGTTGTGATTTCGTGGCCACAAAACGTGAAACTTGGCTCCTCATCGGGGTCGACCAGGCCATCTGGTGAGCTGTCGAAGATCCGTAGCGATGAAGTACACCTACAATCATAGTGAGTACGTAGTATGACTAATCAGCACACGTTCAGAGAGCACGATTCACGTCCCACGGCACTGCAGCCGTGATGGGTGCTAGCGAACATCATCTACACCTTTAATACAACCTACCTCGGGCTCAACTGCTTCGATCAGATGTCTTCACAAGCTTTTCGAAAAAGACTTTCTTATGTTGTTAGGTATCTTAGATTTTTTTCTTAATTGTTTTCTGTTGGTAAGAATGTTACCTATTCCCCTTCATTTCTATTGATGACAGTGCTTCTTATTTTTCGAATTCATAAATGAATATAAGAAATAATACGCTTCTGTATAGGAAAATAGCTAATGCTTAGAAAAATTAAGCAACATATGCACCCAAAGGTCTCTGGTTTAAAAACCAGAGGCAAATACTTCATTAGCTGAACAGTTACTTTCAAACGTGTTTAGATAGTCAAAGTGATACTGCCCTCCCAGCGGTTTACCGCCTCATCGTAGCTGGGAGGTGTTCTTGGGTATCAGGGTGCGATGTACAGCGGGGAATTCATACCCCGGCGGGATCTCCCAAGCTAAGAAGAAGTCCAGCGCTTCCATAAGGAAACCCATCTAAGAATGAACTAATATCAGGATTTAGTACCATTCTGGAAGCAAACTAGTCCCATGGTGGCAAATCTCCCTCTTATCCACAAGGGAGGCGATTGCCTGTGGTGGTGGCGACCTGAGACAGGCTTTGGCTAGGCTGACCTCCGCACTCCAGAGAAACACAACGGCTAAGCCAGCAAAACCTCGAGAAGTGGAGAATATGCGGGGGCCTAGGAGCGTGTGTGGTGCAGTGGTTGGAGGGGCCACTACGACACACACGTGAAATCGATCCCACGCCCATGGGCCACCAAGCCTTGCATCCCTCCGGAGTCGACAAATTGATACCAGATTTGTCTGGGAGGATAGCAGCATTGGCCCGATACATTGGTAGGCCATCGCGAATCTCTTATTACAAAGGCCAGATATGCAATCAATCACCTACAACGAAACTTAATGAAGTCGAATGCATGGCGCATCCCTCAGGGATCGATCAACGCCGAGAGCTTTGCTCTCTATGCCTTTTATGCTGGGGTCCACACAACCAGTGAATATGGGCCATCCAAATATCCAAGTAAGTAAGCAAGTGGTGGTGAGCTTCTTATAAGTTCGCTGGTGTTCCTTGAGAATTCATGGCTCACTTCTAGTTTATTTCAGAAGCTAAAAGTTTTTTTTATTTTTCAGATATTGCAGCCTTTATATTTTTTCATGAATAGTTTTCCGAATATTGCCTTTTTCGCTTGTAAAACCGCTTTTTTGAAAAATCTATAATAGTCAAGTACTTATGACATCAAGCTGCCGCTTGTTGCACAAACGGGAGCATATGCTCCAGTTGAATCAGACTAAGGAAATGCTCACGAATCATTTGAACGAAATTCGGGAAGCAATAATGGCTAGTGCAGCTTTTGCCTTAGATCCTCAGTCCTTCTGTCTTTGTCAAATGTCCACTGTCTACTGCTGCTGACTTCGTTGAAAATCATCTATTCAATGCTATGAATCACATCACACCCTCGAGTGAAATATGATTCCGGTTATTGAATTGGCCACACATGGAATAGCGTGTTATCGATGGAGACTGAGGCGAGGTCTGGCGCAGAATTAAGCACTCCGCAAAGCGGCTCTTCAACAGTGCACACTTTTGTTGACCAATTCAGTCATTGCGGCAAACTGCGAGATGAAGCGGTTCTATATCTGCCACTGGCTGCGAATATGAGTATTTTGTTGTTATTGACAATGAACTAAACACTTAATAGAATGAAATAGCAACCAAGAGTCTTGTGAGAAAAGTGAGAGAAGAGTCTCGCTGGTGATGAGATATTTGCAAAACGCAGGACCGCAGGTGTCTGAAAAGCGGCATGGTGTGGTGGTGAACGCGTTACTTCCCGGAAAGAACAATAGCGCGTTCGTTCCCCACCGCAGACACCTGCGGTCCGGAGTTTTGCAAATAGCTCAGCATCATTTTATATTTTCCAATATATACCCTGCCGTTAAAAAAAGTAAGCAGTAAATAATAAGTTAAAACTGAGAAAAGAGTGTTGGGAAATATGATGGGAATTTGTATGAACCTTTCGGACGAATTTCAAAAATCCAAGAAGTTAACGGAATGGAGGAGTGCCTTGTTGTCGAGCCCGACCTTTCACAATATCCCAGAGCGATTTTTTAACTTGAGAGGAGCACATTCTCTACCCATGTGCTGCTGGTGCTTATCAGTAAATGCAATTTGCAGCCCCGGATTGATAAAGAGCTTGCTAAGCCTGTCGCGCTGCGATCAATCTCATGCGTATTGCAGGCCGTCTCCGACCACTGCGCTACACGCGCCCATCGAAGACGAAAGCATAGAGGCAAGGAAACAATCGGCTTTGATCAATTCCTTCGAGGTGTGCTATGCGTTTATCAAGCGTCGCAGAGGTGAATGAATGCACATTTGGCTTAAAGAACGAAATATAGTGGTCTACCAATGCACGAAAAGTTTTTGTCCTTTCCCGACACAGTCTGATACTAATTTGCGGACCCCGAAAGGATGGAGTGCTTGATTAGCTGGTAGTACCAGATCAAACGACGCTATGTGCATTGATACTGAGCTTTTAAGCTACTCGCCTCAAAAACATAAAACTGAGACGTGCTGCTATACCTTTTTTATAAACACAGAGCCAACTAAACCTAAGCTCTCAAGGGGGGGAGGGGGGGGGGGCATATTTCGTGAACGCTGTGACCGCGACGGGACCTTCCAGTTGACATCCGTCAGCGGCATAGAACACCTATTGGTCACGATACTTTTGCATTGAAATAAACGATTNGGGGGGGGGGGGGGGGGGGGCATATTTCGTGAACGCTGTGACCGCGACGGGACCTTCCAGTTGACATCCGTCAGCGGCATAGAACACCTATTGGTCACGATACTTTTGCATTGAAATAAACGATTTTAATGTGTTTTGGTTAGCCTTAACATACCTCATGCAAATGCCATTGGCGCAGCAGTCAAACTCAGTTTTTAAAACACCGAGGGCTTGTTGCTTGCCAATATGAGAGACAAGCGAAACGAATGGCCCGCATGCTGTGGTGGTGAACGCGTTAGCCTTGGAAAGAGTAATAGCGCGTTCGATCTCCTCCGCAGACATTTGCGATCCGGAGTTTTGCAAATATTTCAGCATCATTACAGTTGAGAATCAGCGTCAAACGTTTGTTTTCCCCATTTTGTTTAATTCTTGGACCTTTGCTTTTATTTTTTGACGACCTATTTATATATTTATGAATAGGCTGACCGCCTGTTCCTTTACTTTGGTCTTCGAAAAAATGGAACCCGAAAATTTTACTAATTTCAGTTTCCTTCTCACATCTCCGTTTGCTAAACAAAGCTCTTATTTAAGTCGGACACGCATCGAGTGGAGGTCGATCGAAACCAAACGAAAACAAAGGGACTTCATTTTGGACGAGAATCGTCACCTAATGTATGAATAGAGTGAGAGTGTTGTGCTTAATAAATCCAATAAAGGTCTCAACACACTTCGAATCCAAAATGGGAACTTAGGGAATCGGAAAGAAGCTTCTAAAAGAAGTGTCCCATGTACATCAGGCCCTCATATTTCCCATTAGAAGGCAGAAAATCAGATAAGTCTGCCCAGAGCGTCCCAAAAAAAGGAGGCAAAACCAAAATGTGGTGTGATGGATGAAAAATAGGATGTGAAATTAAGATCGTTTCGTTGATGACTGCGCTAATGCAAAATCGCCTCTAGGATGCACTAAGGAAATGGAATCGGAGTTTGCACTCCCGCTCAAATTCTGCAAATCGCAACTATGACAACACCACTTCCTTCAGAGAGGCATCGGAACGCAGTTAGGAAAAAAGCTCTAGTCAAAGCTTATTCTCTTAGAGTCTCTATTTTGTTCTCGGAAGCTCTTTGAAAAACTATATTGACCTACAACTTAATATTTGCGCTTCATTTATAATCTTCGGTTTGTTCATTCTTTTCTTCGCCATTACGCGTTCCCTGCGGAATTTTGTGATATAAAGAGCAAGAACACTTTGAAGATTCCTTTGAAAAGTTAAGTAAGCGAGCTTTAAACCAAGTAAACTCATAATTAATGGTGAGCGTATGGCTTCACAAAAAACAGCCGAGGGGTTGGTTTACTGCCAGCAAATACACTAGTGAGTGATAACGGGACTTTTTTACGTGGAAAACGATCTTGTTGTTCTTGCCTGCTTCTTACAAGCAATCCCTTTCATTCGCTTGTACTTAGAAAAAATTGACAAGGATTCCTTTATTTCTTATGACAATGTAAAAAGAATTCCATAATTCTCTTGCCAAGGCAACAATTATAAACTGGAATACGATGTTCGTAGGGTTTTTTCCTCGCTTAGATGACATAGCGTCAGAAACACGTACTTTCTACTATAAACAAAAGACGCTGACGCAGTGGAATGTACAGCATGAGCGTGAATGCAGCTGATATAAAACTGATGACATCCTACCCATTGTTGCACATTTGAAGCACCGTATTTAGAGGTGTCTCCTACGGTTCATACGGTTGTTGGTTCGATCTCACGCCACGATCTAACAAAGTAATCCATAACTCCTAGATCGGTAAGTTGGTAATAGACTTGTTTTGGAGAAAGGAGAAAAGTGATAAATGGTAAATCGATGGCACTTCCTAGGTTGCTGTACACTCCACAATGAACCATACAATTGAATTCAAGGCGCTCCACCGAGAATGTGATGACGCTTCCTTACATCGGCTTAATTTTCAAGGTAATCTTGGTGGAGTATTATTTGCAAGCCATAACCATTTTCGTGCTTAACGTAGAGTGAAAGATGTGTTTAAATATAGGGGATTAAAACAAGGGATCAAAATTGTGCGCGCTTAGAGAAGAGATAAGACAGGGGTCTCGATCCGCTTGTGCACGATTCTAACATTATTTAAAAGTCTGAGATCGTTATTTTTTCTCCTCCGTTTTCCATCTTTTGTTTTCGAACAATAAATATGTTACAATATTATTTCTGCATTATTACCTTATAACTATATTGATCGATTATAATATATTTTATTGATTTAGTACGGACTTCGAACATACTTCTCGGATTCCTTACTAATCAAAGATTCAAGGAAAATGCATTCAAAGTCATGGAGTTCGAAATAAATGCGGCATTGTATAAGGTCCAACGATTAAAATTGAAACGGATTTTTATTCGGATGGTTAGAAATCTGATCGATCAAATAGGTGGGGGGTTTCAAAACAGCCATGTCTACCGAAAAATCTGAAGGTGTTGACATCCTATGCTTTACATATTTTTCCAAAATCCAAAATGTGCATATATCGGCTTTTCTACCTCAGAGCGTTGGAAAGATGTCTTTGCATTGATGTTTAATGCCCGAAAAACTTTGAGGGGAACTAACGAGGTGAGCATTCTTTCATCTTCAAGTACATGAAGCAGCAAAAATGGACAGAACTTACGTAGGATTTCGAACTGGCAGCGAGAATGTGATGAAGGTAATCTGTGTGAGCGATCCTGGTGGAGCGAGGAAATGGTAGAAGAGGCAGTCGATGTCTTCAAGATTAGCCGGATAGTTGGGCGAGTGGAACGTTCCGCTCGTGTTGAACAATATACACGGGCAATATGGAGGTGTGGCCATTAGACTGACTGTCATGCTAGCTAATATGGCCAGTACAGTAGAAAACGATTGCATCTGACATCGCTTCAGCCGAATTTTCTAGGGACGACGACTGTTATATAATGACATGCTAATCGACACCACGCCCCCACTGCAGAAGCACATCTTAAGGAGAGGGCCGAGTCCATAAAAATGCATTTGGTCGACAAATACATGATTCGTATGCCCACCCCACATCATAATAAATGCCCCATTTTGTTAAATAAATAATTGGTTTGCGTTTAAAAGACTTTGCCGAAGCGCCTTCAAGAACTAACCTATTTTTTTGTATGACTATTTACGAAGCGCTTAGAGCGCAGTGTTAGAGGTGTACTGTAATAAACATGTCGTAGGTCCGATCAAGCCGCCCAAGCACACTGAGCCATCCTTCTTTTCGAGGCAAGGAAATTGCTACCGCGACTGTCTGGTGTGCTAAAAAAAACAATTTGATAATTCAGTTGGTCTGTGCAAACCACTATGTAAGTTAACTAGTTAGTCACTTTCAGGTTCCTCAATGAAGTCGAGTGCATGGCGCATCCAACTGGAAGTGATCACCTCTGAACGTATATAATTTATTCTTCGTATGCTCAATTGCTAATCATGAGTTGGTGCAAACGAAAAAATAAAGAAATCCTGGATGAGGATTTGAAAGAAGTGATCCGAATACTGTTTCCACATGTTCGTAGTTGAGAACGGTAAAGCTAAAACAGAAAAAATCAATGAAAAGCATATAGAATCGGGAGGGTTGAAATAAGATATTGGAAGCCTTTTTATTAGCATCCACCCAAAACTGCTTACTCCTGAATGTTAACATTGAGGAAAGAAACCTTAGCATTTTGGTTAGAAGATAGTGAGCGACACGACATGCACGGGCATCGACGTGCTCAGGGATAAAAGACTGTTCCCGATTGATTTCTCCGTGTAATTATCGTTCTGTAGTGAACATATCCTCTATAAAAAGACTTCATTCGGTCACAGGTTGGAGAGTGATTTTTTCTTTCCATCCTTTAAAAAGTTAAAGCCCGTTGTGTATAGTGAACAAATCTAGTACGATTGTTTCCCTTTATATCACCGCGATGTTGTGGACAATGAGCAAAGTCCATGAAATGTTTTCCGTGGACTTCGACACTTCTGAGTCCACATTTTGCGCTGCATTTAGCCTACTATTTAAGCCTTTGTTAATGCAAATGGATTTTCTTTTTGAGTCTAGTATAAGAACTTTTCAAGAGCACCGTACTAATTTAGCTAAGAGCTTCTTAAGTGAAGGCCAACCAGTAGCAAACTAGAAGCGCTTTCTAGATCTGTGAATAATTTTTTCTCCGGATCATATTGATGCTAAGAAATTGTGCTAAAACGATCGTCTTCTTTTTTTTTGAAATAGGTAAAATCAGCAAAACGATGGCGTTCTTGAAAAGAACGCCACCAGCGTCAAAAACATGAATGGACGTGTGTAACCACTTCCAGACGACTCATTTTTGCCGACTTTCACCACCCACATCAAAAGCTTGACGACATCATCTTCAAAACGTTGCTCCCCAAGGTACACCAGCAAGGCTGTTAAGATGATCGCATAAGCGGTGATTGAAACTTTAAATCAGACTTTCCTATGGGAAGAGAAAAATCGACAACTAGAACTGACTTTCTGTCGAGGCTACGGAGATGTTTGACTGACTGGCTTGCGCATGACCAGAGAATGATAAACTAATTTCCAAGAAAATGTGAACGTGAGGGTTGACCTCTATCAAACTGGGTCTAACTGGGTCCATGTTACCATGACGCCCACTACCAAGAAGAAGTTGTGATTTAGCTTAACAGTGCACATCATGTCTGATGACTTTATCGTAAAAGTAAATTTCAGCATTTGATTGAACTTCTGTAACGCTAAAATCTATGAAATGAAAAAAAACAACCTAGCAAGATGTTAATTAACTATGCACAAATGACCTAATTTGATGAAAATTGAGAGGAAGTCCGAAACGACCGCTGAAGCTTTGCTAATGGCCCAAATTAGTTGAACAGCTACAGTATTTGGCCGAAAGGAATGCTCACTGCATCCGAAAGCATAGTGGAAAGGTTATTTGTGAGTTTTACTCTGACTTTCTCGCCGGAAATACCAATCTATTTTAATATCCTCTCAAATATCACGAAATGGATACGTCTACGGACCAGTTCTTCTATGCAAAAATAGCAATGCCATTCCATCAATCAAGGAAACGTACAGTACACAGGACGCAGAAAAAAGACGCAGACTTTCAAATGGGGTTCATTGCCATGAATTAGTTCCCCTCGGTAACGAAACTCTTTAAAGAATTGCCATAGTACACAAAGTTATGTCTTACACCCGTCTCATTCATCATCTCTCATGAACAACACACGGGTGGTCCAACGGCAAGGCTTTGATGAAGGCGAAATCGCTGAAACGTCAGCCATTGAGCAAAGATAACAACAAGAATTAGAAAATCTATACCAACCTCTTGTCGTCTGATAAAGGGCAGTTCGTTAGAACATACATACAGATTATTATTAAATTGATTTTTATGTCGAAGTTTATAGAAAGTTGATTTTTGAATCTTTCGACGTTTTCGTCTTTTTTAGAACCGATGGTCAGAGTCGACTGGTCATTCGGCCTCGCGATGTGGGGTCTTCTGTCTCGCAACTAGTCGAATCCCCTGGAGTGGAGAATTTTTCTTTAAAAATATCATTGATTTTATTGACACGCATTTGGTCATGGAAACTTCGAGGAACAATTCATGCCATTCGCACTGAAAAACAAGAATTCTTCTTGAGTCATGCAACACTCCTGCTGAGAAAAGACGAGTTTTTTCGATTTTGTTCTTGTTGGCAAGGGGAACACCATTCGTTCGCCAACGCAGCGCTGTTGACAAAAAAGATTTTGGACTTGCAACTCATAAACGACCAGCAAAGCTGAAAAGTTGGGGAGATTTTCGGCGGAGAAAAATTAATGCTGTGCTTTATATAACTTCAATGATACTGAGATATTTGCAAAAGTCCGGACCGCAGGTGTCTGCGATGGGAACGAACGTGCTACTACCCTTTCTGGGAGCTAACGCGTTCACCACCACGCCATACGGGTTCTTCGTTTCGTCTGTCTCTCGGCTATTTCTCTCGATAGAGTCCGGTGTTTTGCAAATATCTCAGCATCACTTAGGTATATTTCGCAATATACTCTGCCATTAAAAAGAGTGCGCAGTAAGTAATAAGTTGAAATTGCCTTGCGTTAAGTAAGTCATAGACTTAATTTGAACTGAGCAAATAGTACAGACGCTTTGAAGAGCTCCAGAATGCTCGATATGATTCGCCTCAGGCAATCGCTGAGTGTTCATTGTTTTCCTGAGATGAGAGGTAAATGTTAAGCCCGTCATTACGAGTTCGGCGAATTTATGAGAAGCTTTGGCTTTGGTGAATCGACTGAGAACTAAAATGGAAGACGCTCACTTTTGCCTGCATTTTGATTTAAAGACAAGGGAAAATTTCACTTTTCCAGGATTAAGATGGGTAGAACACTACTTACTAATACTTTGAATGATTGACATTGTTCAAGCAGACGCAAATCAAATTCCTTTCAAACAATGAAAAGTAGTTTCAAGGCTTTTGACTTGTCAATTAATACTATTTCACTTAGCTACCTTTTAGTAAAAGGAATAATTTCTTACTAATGAAAGATTGACTTCGCAAATATTTAACAGATTTTGCGAGTATATCTGTGTAAATGTTCTTAGAACATCAACGCATAAGACTCTGGAGGCGTTTTGGATAAATTTGAAAAGCCCAAAAATGAACAGGGAAGACGAATGCCTCATTATCACACATGAAATGTCGCCTTATATCCGAATGATTTTTTGATGCAGACCCTCAAGCAAGAGTCTCACTCATCACCCCTCGTTAACAACACGCGGGTGGTCCAAAAGCGATATGGGTGGTTTTCCAAAACTGGTGTCTTTTCATATGCTGGATCTTCATTAATACCATGTTACCCACAGAATTGTGTGGTAACTGTTACGTATACGTACGATAATACGTCCAAGCTCTGAGGAAGGCGAAGGCGCCGAAGCGTCAGCCATTGTTACAACAACAGCCATAAGAACATCTATACCAAACTCGCTTCGGCCAAGAAGGGCAGCTCCTAGGAACATTTTATTTTATTTTATATGATGAGAAGGATGTGATGCTTGGTTGGCCCGTGGAGGAATCGAACTAGCACCATGCTTGTGATGACGGCCACCACTGTGCTATTCGTCCGCTTCGTACGGACGTATTTACAGATATATCGGCTTTTATGCTGAGTTTTATAAGAAGTCGAGCTTCTGTTATTTTTGCGGGTATTTAATCATTATAACAATTACTTTATTCGATAAATTAGTTTCGTTCCGTCGTCTTATTCGTGCATTACCGAGAAATTTTTTTTACTAATACAAGTACTCGCACTGTTTTTCTTTTGTTGCTATTTTGCTTTATTTCCCTTTCCCTTAAGTGCTCCGTTGCCTGTGTTAAAGAAGAAGCTGAGCTAAGCCGAACTAAGTGGAGGATTCAAGAAGATTCTAATGTTAAAAGGCCTGCCACTCGATATTTTTCGATGTTGTGATAATATCGTTTCCAAAGCTTTTTAGAGAGAAGGTTGTAAAGCCGCGTAGCACAATTATACACTCATTAAAAAAGGCTAACAATGCATTTCTTTCATTGCAATGAGGGAAAAAGGTACCATAGAGCTTGGTGAAAAATACATTGAGCAGTCGAAAAAACTGGTAAGCGGCCGGTTTTGTTGTCATGTAATGAACAATCCGTTAGATAAAAGCGGCACAAGCTCCGGCAACCTGCACCATTTCGAAAAGAATGCTTCGTGCGTCGCTATTCTTCCTAGCTCTCGCAGAGCTATTCGGACTATGGCTCGTTTACGGTATGTTTTAAGGCTCACATGGTGTCTTTCCTTAATTTCTTTCCGTTATTACCCAATATTTCACACA